GAGCAATGCAAAAGTAACTTTGTTATTTAAATGCACATTAGGACATACTTTAAAATTTGAAAGATTATGTTATGAAGTAGCTCACAGTTTGTGTGGATTCATGTAATGTACCAATAAAAAAAACCCCACCAGAACCAAATATTCAAGTCCATTAAAATTAAGAGCCGAAATTAGGCCACTGTATTTTCTGTGTAAAACAGATGCTAGTGAACCCTAGAATTTTAGCACCCTGATTTACCTTAACATATTAGGCTTTTTTTATAGTTCTTAAATGTGAAAATATTTTTCTCCGTTGTAAATTATCAAAATTTGTTAGTAAAATTTACTCTGCAACTGCTCTTTAAACTCCTCTCTAATACTGATGAAAAATTAAGATTCATCTGTATAGCTAAGCATTACTGGCGGAAGAAAAGAGGGGAGTTGACAGTGTAGAGGATTTAAAGTCTCCAGTGATACTACTTATCCAAGCAAAACCTGCAAACTTCTGGACATGGTGGCTGGAAAACCTAAAAGTGCATCTAACTGGCTTTGTTACACACATATTTGGAAAGGTACAAGGGAGAGCTGCACGGCAGTCTATTTGGAAGCTGTATATTTTCTAAATACTACAGGTCATGAAGGCACTTTGCTGAACTGCTCCTTTCTTTAGCTCCATTCCACTAGTGTTTCTTACTAATTAGTTGCATATGAAGCACAAAATCCTATGAGTGAAGCTCTGTCTGATTTCATTGTACAACTTTTTAAAAAATACACAGATGATGTACAAGCAATCTTTTTCAAGGGCACTGTGCCCAAGTTTTGTTTTAAAGTCAGTGGTAACAGTTCAGCAAACTAGGGAATTTATTATTAATTACAGGCTACATTTATTTTTTGAACTGACACATATGAGAAACCTAATTCTTCTACTCTTTGGAACTGAAGAATTTTGGCAGGATGGGGATAAGGCAACAGCCGTAAGAGGCTAGAGTTGGTGCCACTTATCATTTAGGTTTTAAGGGCAGAACCCTGCCCTGGCCACTCTAATCCTCAGTTTGATACTTTGATACCCTCCTCCCTGTGTTTGTTACTGCTTCCCTCAGCCATGGCACATCCTAAGACTGCTGCTTAAGAGAAAAATTCTTGCACTGAAAAGAACTGAATCCCACAATTCTGCCACGTTTCCTCAAGCCAGCTCTCAGGTCACACACTGTGCATAAGGAACTGGAGGCATGGCCTTTTTCCAGAGAGAATGAGAGATCTTGCTCTGAGCAACCAAAGCGCCCAGTTCTTAGGAGGCTGTAAAGCTGTACTGAAAGTCTGCCACAGTTGGCAGCTGCGGTACAAACCACCTGATGCACAAGCAGAGTACTTTTGTACCCTGACTCACATGAGAGGTCACTCACACAGCCTTCACACAACTGTGGGCCGTCTTGCTCTCAGAAACATATTTATGCTTCCATAATTATCAATTTGAAAATTAGCAAAAATTCTGCTGTGAACACAGTTTGGGAAAGAAAAGCCTCAGAAGAACCAATGGGGCAGCAGCTCCTCCGAGCCCTGTGCAGCCCTGCAGGAGACAGGCTGAGTCTGCCACCATGTGACCGTGCCAGCTGGGAGGCAGAGAAAGCCTGGGCACCACTGCATGCTCCAAAATAAATGCCTAATGGCTCCCTGTGGAGTCGAACACACAGAATTTAAGACTCTGAAACAAAAAATTAAGATTGCCAGCATAATACCGTGACTACGAGCTCTGCTCTTCTCCTTGGTCTTTAATGCGTGGGAGTGATGGATGATGTTTCTGACTAGGCAGACATTCAAAATCAGTCTGGTGGGGAACCACATGTATTATTTACTGCATATCACTGAAATTCTGCACAAAATATAGAACTCATTTTATTAAGGACTTTTTTATTGGGGCTTTCATCACTATGCCTGCCAGCCTTGTGAAAAGTAATGAATATTTTTTTCAGCTAGACTGGAAAGTGAGATGGTGCTACTCACACTGTACTGAAGGGGGAAATGAGGCATAGAGAGATCAAAGGCATCAATTGTCAAAAACAATCAGCTAGTGAATTAGTGAAATCTGATTTATTCCCTTTTAACCCAGTTATTTAGGTATCACTTTATATATTCAAGGCACTGGTGCTTGCCACGAACTGCAGCTCTGAATGCTCCAGCCCTGCTGATGAAAGTTTTGAGATTCTTGTCAAGCACCCAGAAAAGGACCATGTGAGTAACGACTGGAACGTGAAAATGTACAATTTTGGAAAGTTGTATCCAACTGATCTGTGAATCACTGCACTAGAAATCTGTAGCAGGGCAGCATTGCCTGGCAGAGTGGGAATGCTGTATTTCCTACATTCGTTTTTTATTGGCATCCCTATTTCTGGTGTGCATTGAGATTGCTGCAGATCCCTTCATCTGTGTAGAATTTGAGAGAAGTGGCTCAGTTTGAAGAGACTGAAATGTTTGCTAAAGAGGATGAGTTATGAGACAAACCAAACTCCTCTCTCTCAGCAATTGTGAATACAAAATTAAGGGGCTTTAATCGAGAAAGTGTGGAAAAAACCAAAAGAAATAACAGCCCTTTATTAAAAGATATATGTATGTTGGCAAGAACAGTAACAGAACACAAAAAAACCCTAGACAATAGTACCCAAAAAGTCCCCTTCAAACAAAAGAAAAAGTCTGAATGAACACTTCTCTGTCCTTAGCGCGGTTCCAGTCCCGGCCGGCAGGGGGCGCTGTTGGGTCACTGGAGGAGCAGAGCCTGCAGTGCTCGGTGTTGGCCTGCAGGGGGCGCTGTCGGGCTCTGCGGTCACCATGAGGGGAGGGGTCTGGGGGGGGTCTGGGGTTGTGGGAGGAGCCGAAAAGAGAATGGGGACCCTTCCCCAATGGGAGAAGGGGGAAAGGAAAACAGTCCATCCCCAGTGGAACTCACTGTTGTCCTCAGATGAGGGTGTCCCAAGGCTCCTCCTTTTCTCTCCCAGTGAGCACAAAAACTCTTCGATGAAAACGCAGCAGGTCCAGGATGGAGACAAGACAGCTACCCCGTCCCATCCCAGAGAGAGAACCCAGCAAAACTGACTTCTTCCCCCCATGAGCTGGGCCAGTTACCCCAAAAAATCCCAAACTCCACCCCCCCCCCCCCCCCCCCCCCCCCCCCTCCTCCAGCCATTAGTTAGGAATTCGGCTTTGCTGGCCAGACCTTTTGTAAAGTTAATTGACCCCCTTCCCCCTTCCCATTAGAACTCCGTTTTTCTTACAGTGGAGCAGAGGGAGGAAAAATTCCCTCATTGGATTTATAGCCTATGACAAGAGGAGAGGGAAGAACTGACTGGGGAATGCATTCTCAGGATTAACTGCTCCAGAATCAAATGTTTTAAAATTAGGTTACTGTCTGGAAGTGCCTTCCTCTTCAAATTAAAGTTTTTTGTATACTGTTTTTCATTCCAAATTTCTACATAGTTTAATTACCAAGATGTAAACAGCAGGCCATCGGGTCTTCTAATATGTGTAGAAAAGTGCAGTACCCATTTCCTGAAGGCATTGATAAATCTTGTTTGTGTAAATTTTAGCCTTCTAATTTAAAGCAGTGTCTGGTCCTGGGGACTTCTGAGATGGCATTTCCTTCTGTTGAATTCACAGGTGAGCAGCCAAACTCTCAGGCCCACAGACAATGGCAACTGCTCACATGCCTTGCTGAGTGTTCACCACCTAAAGATAACCTATAACTCATGGGTTTTGTTTTTAGGTAGCCAATTAAGTGAATGTACCCATTTTGCTGCAGTCCCCAAAAATTCCATTTGAAAGCACCAAGGAGGTTACTGTGCAACAATTCTGATGCTTGGTCATTACAGTAATGTTTGTTGCAGAAAGCCATCGACAGAGATGTGGCACCAAAGCAAATGAGTAAAAGGCACTTATCTGGTTCTCAAAAGTGTATTTCCAGATTTGGTAACTGCTTGCTCTGAAAAGCAAATTGTGACTCATTGGTACCCTCCTGCAGGGAACATTCAGTTCCAGGGAGGAGATGGAAAAAATTTTAAAACATCTGTAGCTGGAAAGCAGAAACCTTAACACGGAATGGGCAAATGGTAGACAAAAGTTCAGGAAGTATTCCAACAAGAGGCAAAAAGTCTTCATTCCACAGTACAAGTGTCTTGAGTGTTAGTACAGTCTGTTCACTAGCAGATATCTTTATAGTGTTTTTCATCAAGCTCTGAGCTGGCAATCAGTGCTTTTAGCACACCCAAAGGATGAATGATCACAGATCTGTGCTGGGAGTTATGAGGAAATTTGCACTTACTTTCATGTTGTTCTCCCTTCTGTTCCCAGCCTGTTATCAACTTGCCACAAGGGGGCACAACAGAATTTCTAAGAATTCTGTTATTAAATTTTGCTATTGTCCTATCATAAATGAAATCTCTATGCCAGTAAAAAAAGAGTACAGGACATTTGTGTATTTATCTAAGTTGATTAAAATACAAACCAAGAGTGGGCAGGTCACACCTCACTGTGGTCACAAACACACGCTTCACTGTGGCTGGAGCATGAGCTTCCTCAAGAACACCGTGCTGCTTGCAGTGTCTCACATTTCCTGGTAGGGCTTTTTTTCAGTTTCTGTTGACTGTTTTTCATATCAATAAGCTTGAAACCCCCGTATTTTATTTCAATGAGCCTCCCACATGCAGAGAAGGCCACATTTCAGTGCACTGACGAGACACTACTGCTTGTTAACACAGTAGATCAAAAGTACCAGGAAGCCAGAACGATCCGCATTACGTGGTATGTGAAATGATGTTTTTTGTTTTGCCCATTCCCATCTCTCTGCAGCATTTTCTCTCTCTCCAGTGTAGCTCTAACAGCACTACAACCCTTGCTTTACTAAAGAGCTTCCCCTCAAAACAGCTTTGCTGTACTGTGTGCAATTAAGGAACATGTCATTTGAACTAAAAAAAAGAGGGGCTGGTTCTTTTTTGCACCTAACAAAGCAGGAAGGAATCTTACAGACAACTGCCTTGTTCTCCAGTTTTATCACTGATGCTAATATTTATTTTTGCAGGCACTATTACATAAACATATATATATTCCATGTGTGCACACACACAATGTATTCAGAAAGAGGGTACTGCCTCCCAGAACCATCCCTCTGAAACAGTCTCAGTGGAGAAAACCTGTATCTGTAGGACTGGATTTTCAGAAGATGCAAAATAGTTTGAGTGTTAATTATTTTCCTTTAGAATTTTAAGAAAGACTCCTGTCATGATCCTGAGATCTTTTCTCACACAGCTGCATTCCATGATATCAAAGACATACTGTACCATAGGCATGAATTTCTTTGGGGGTTAGGTACCTAATTAGCCTTGAGGACCACTCTTATTACCAAAGATTAACGGAAAACTCATAGTAAATAGTACTTTCCTCCACCTGTGTTGTAAGTCACACGACATTCAGCAGCAGAAATCAGACACATTCAGAGAGCAAGATAAGCAAATCTTCCACAGTATTGGATAGAAATGGCTGCGTTTCTCAATTCAGTTTTCTGCTAGTTGTCTTCGTCTTTGTGTCAGTTCTCTGTAAAAAGAACTGACTGACACTTATCAGTTTCCCACATGAAAAAATTCCTGTTCAGCTGACTTTGAAATAAAGTCTTCTCAGCAGGAAGTCCAGACCAGTAACAGCTTGCTCAAGGAAATCAGAGAATAGGTTAATACCAGTGCTTCACCTGTCAGTGGAAATCTCCAAACCTGTACAAGCTCAGTGATCATGTAAATGTAATGGAAAACTGTAAGTTTGTGAAAAAAAGCACAAAGGAATACTGAATGCTCTTAAGATTTTTTTACATGCTAGAAATATTAAAATTGTTCACCCTAGCAGTGTTTTGATAAGTGGGGAGCAGATGAAGGCCTCCTTCTTTCATTCACAGAACATTACATGTAATTCATTTCACAGCTTTATTATTTTGTGAGATCTTAGAACTGTGTGGTAGACTAGAAATTAAAAGTTGTAAAAGGCAGAGTTTGCAGCTTCCCAGAAAGAACAGAAAACTGTTATGTAACAGGAAAAGGAAGACATGAGCTTCTCTCCAGTAAAGGCAACATTTACACCAAGTTGTTTAGGTTATATTCATCCCACAGTGTTGCTGCACATTAGGAATGAGTCATCTAAGGATTAACAAAAAAGGTCATTACAGTGAAATGAGGCATTTTGTCCTGAGAGGATAACAGTAAGGCATGGCCACACTGCCATTCTACCAACAAAATCTGAAATTCAAATACATGATGAAAACTCCTGCTTTTACTAGGGTGTGCCTGTTTTTGCTAACAAAGAATTTCCTTCTTAACACCCATGCAAATTAACCAGTGGGTACCTGCAGAACTCTCATGTTCATAAAGTAGTAAAGTGGATTTAGCTAAGTAATTTGGACCTATTATTTTTTTTTTCAGTCTGCTATGGTAGATCCAAACTGTTTTGGCAATGATATGTGACACAAGACTATGCTTAAGTATCCTCTGTCTTGGTCTGAAGCGTCCAACAAGGTGAAGGCCATTGCTCTGGCTTTGCAGTGTTTGATTCAACGCGATGATCTTCTCTCAACTCCGACTCGAGTTTACCATCTGTTGATTCTTGTTCTTTGCAGGCTGCAGGTGAAATCTGTACAGCAGACATGACATCTCTTGTGTAGGCATTTATTTCCCCATCAGCAACAGAGTCTGGTTGGCTTGAATTATTGGATCTTTCAGATAAGCCAATATAGTCATGGTCAACAACTACTGCACCTTGTAGAAAGTAATGGTTGTCTGTAAAAGGAAAGGAGCCATTAGATCAGATCATTCAAGTCATACTTCACATGTTAGTAAGGTGCTAACTTTCTTTTCAAAACAATTCCCACAAGAGGGCAAGAACATTTGAGTGACAGCAGACTGATAATGTGAATTTCCTAATTTCATTGAGTACCAAATGTTTGGCATCTTGTTATGTCCACAAAATGCTTACAATGTTCCACATAAAGAGCTTTTCTTAGCTACATCGATGACTAAGTTGACATCTGTCACAGTCACCTGCTGAACTAATACCTTGAATGAATGGACATGCAGATTCTTTCATTTTGTGCATGCACACAGAGAAACGTTGTTTCTCCAAGCTTTTGCTGGGAAGTCTTAATGCAACACAACAGGCTTTTTTAAGCTGTAAAAAGTAAGTAAAAAAGAAGAAATAAAAAGAAACCAAACTCTATCCCAGCCAAAACCAGGACAGTCACTTCCTGGAAAAAAGGGGAAGAAACTCTGTTTACACACTGCTTCTGCAGTATTCAGTGGTAAACATATTAGGTTCTGATAATACAAAGACAACTATGTTTAACTTTTTATACAGTGACAGAGTTCACCAAAGTTATTGTAATAGCTGTACGTTATCTGCATGCTTGCTATCCTGTGATTATCTCCTCATGCATCATTAATTTTATGAGGAAATGGAAGGCACAGAGTGATCGTCCAAGAAAAAGTAGCAGCCTGCAGACGTGACATAAAATTTGTATCTTGGTTATGAAATCTTCAGCTGACAACTGATATAAATATCAGCTTCTTACATCAGATTCCAGAATTAGTTTCAGCTTTGTACATCCCTGAGCTTTAAGATATGATGGAAGATACTACCATCTCAATGTAGTTTATTTATTTTCAAGAAACAAAACTTAATCACACATGCAGATAGGGTAGGAATTATTCTCCTTTTCAAGAACCCTGATGTAAAAAGCACCTTGATCTGTGACATAAGTCTTCTGAACACTGGGTGTTTATTTTCCACAAAATGCCTGTGGTGACTCAAAGACAGCATGAACACAAAAGAAACAGCTGCCACTTTTTGACTAATATGGCAGCACTGCAAAAGGACATGCTGAGGTCCAAGACTAAGAGCAGAAGTTGGTTACCCAAATCTTTGGGAATTTCTAGCCATCTGTTATAGATTAGGAAATCAGGGGGATTTTTCTTCCCCTGCCCCACTCCAAGGGAAAAACGGAGTGAGCAGGGGAAGCGAGGTCATTAGCGTTACAAAGGATGCAGCCTGCCTAGGTTAATGGGCCATTTCGAGAGACGGGAGAGGGAGGCAGAGGGAGGCAGGGGCTGGTTCTGTTTGGAGGGGTGAGGGGCAGACTGCGTTCTTGGCTCCCTGGGTGCAGGCAGGCATTTTGGGGAGGGGGACCGGAGGTCTAGTTTTCTTTTGGCTGTTCATCCTGGTCAGCTCGACTTCTCATCCTGCTGGCTTTGACCTGCCTGACTGTCCTGCTCCCCGGAGCTGCTGTGCCTCATCGGAGAGTTCTGCTTGCCCACGGGAGAGGAGGGGGAGTTTTTTGAGACACCACCGCCTGAGACTGCAGTGAGTCCTCGCCACTTGAGACAGCGGTGAGTTCCCGTGGGAGTGTGCTGCCTGCCTTCCTTTTTGTCCCCACAGAGGCGAGGACCCCCCATCTCCTTCTCGGTTTCCCCACGCGGTCCGGGACCGCTCTCTGCGGCCCCTCTTCCCGCGGGTGACTGACGGAGCCCACAGCGCCCCTGCCGGCCGTGACCGGGTACTGCAGGCCCTGCAGCTCCAGCGGTCCCACAGCGCCCCCTGCAGGCAAGGATCAGGACTGCGCTAAGGGACAGAGAAGTACTTCAGACTTTTTTTTGTTTTCTTTTCCTAGGGCTACCGTCTAGGTTTTTTTTGTGTTTTGTTACTATTGTTGCCAACATACATGTATCTTTTAATAAAGGGTTGTTATTTCTTCTGGGGTTTTTTTCCACACTTCCTCGATTAAAGACCCTTAATTTTGAATTTACAATTGCTGAGAGAGAGGAGTTTGGTCTGTTTCATAACTCATCCTCTTTAGCAAACATTCCAGTCTCATCAGACTAGGACACCATCCTACTGCAGAGCATGACAATTTTATTTGCTCAGGTAAGAGAAACATATTTAATTCTTCAGTAGCATGATTTAAAACAAACCATTCAAAAATCAGTTCTCTGATGTAGTCTTTCTACTTCAAGGCCTTTAGAGGACACTCAGATGTTGAAAAAAAAAAAAAAGTCCAAACATCTACCATCTGCATTAGTCAGGTTGAACAACAACAAAAAAATAAAACTGATGTGAATTCTGTCTACACCAAAACAGAAACACCGTCAGAAAATGCTTCTTGAACACAGTTCAGCCTGCTTATATTTCTAGCATGTTTAGCCAGCCAGGATGAATAGAGCCAGACCAGAGATTAGAAGCAACTTTAGTAGAAGCTATTTTTAAAAAAGACTTTAGACATGATTCATTAGCTCTATTCCATGCTCTGCATAGGTTTGACGTCACTCACAGTCATTGTTCTCCCTTCTGAAAACCAGTTATTACATTATTATATAGTGTTAATTTAATTCCCACTAGTGAGTGAATGATACTTGTTCATCCTCATAATCTAACACGAAGACATAACAGAGAAGTTAAAAAAACCCAACTAAACAAAAACCTCAATCTTTTTCACATATATAAAAATATAAATTAAAAGAAATTACATATATATATATATATACACACCTTTTTCACCGGACCCTCTTATGTATGGCTTGAGGTGAGACATTTTGATGGGTCTTTTTAACCTGGATCCTGTGGCATCTCTTAATATTGCACAGCCATTATCTGTGATATAATCTATAATACAAGGACCAACCCATTCTGACTGGAAACGACCATCCTTCCACCAGTTTTTTCTCTGCCTGAGGACTTCATGACCAACTTTAAGTTGCAGGCTATTTAATTGTTGTGTCTTCCTTTTGACTGTGATTTTGTTTCTGACTTTTTGTTCATCTGAGGTGTTTTTCTCCACCTGCAGGAAGATACATATGAATTACATTTCCTTTCTTTCCAAAAGGAACAATGCATTTTCATAGCACTGGTTAATAGTGCATAAACATAACATCGATTGGTTTTGTATGTGTATGATAGTTTTTACCCTAGGCCTTCCTGGACACTAGCTTGTAACCAGGAAGAAACTAGGGTAATGACTTAGGAAGTATTCCATGTTATTCCTTTCCATAACACAACATATAAAAAGGTGCAGATAAGAGAGCTCGTTCTCTTCTCTCTTCCGGTGGCTGAAGGGGACAGGTCTCTCTGTAGACGGGCTTTGCTTATATAGGCCAGGGCCTGCTGCTCAGACCTGCCGTTATCTCTGGTCTCTCCGGGAGGCGTGGGGGAGTTGGCTGTTGCCTTGCACAGCTCTGCTGTCCCGATCAGGGAAGTATTTAATTTGTTTTTATATTTATTGACTAGTTCTCTACTAACAGGTATATTTAAGAGTTATTTGTTTTTAGGCTTCTTTTTATCCCTGTTTCCCCCTCCCTTTTCCCTTTTTTCCCCCCTCGGGAGCTCCCTGTTGTGGATAATACATTCAAATTGTATATATATATAATTGTAAATATATATATTTTTGATAGAATCCCATTTAGTTTGAACTTCTTTCAGTTTTTTTCCTGTGGTTCGTTTTTTTCTTCCCTCTCTGGGAAGCAGGCCTTGTTGTCAAGTTTTGGAGACTTGGCGGGAAGCCAGCTCCAAACTTGCACAATGTGTATAGTTCATAATCATGTAGGGCTGAAGAGTTATGAAGAAATAGACTTTATCTTCTTAAATCAACAGTCCATAGGCAACAGTTTTCAGCTTCTGTACATACTGTTTTACTCCTGTAAGTCAGAAATAGTAAATTTTTGACAATTGGCCAGGTTACTCCTTCCAAATACATATGAGATTTGTTACACTGAAATCTAGCCATCACAGAGGAAGGAAAACAAATTAAAAACCACCACACAAACTCCCACATTGTTTTAAGAGATTAGTTCTACTTTGTGCTTCAAGCCTTTCCATCTCTTTTATCTCCAGTCTTCTTACTAGCAAAATTTGAATAGATAACATTTACCTGGCAATCTGAGGTCTTCTCTTCTTCCAGTGCTTGACTGACTTTTTTAGTTGCTTCAAATATTTTGGCAAACATACTGTATTCTCCTTCCACGCATATATTCATTGGCTCAACAACATATGGGTTACGTTTAAACATTTGGAAATACGGGGTGTTTTGATTTGGCTCCTATTTAAATGGGAACCAAAAGCAAGCAAATTTAGCACACAGCTTTGCAGACATTTTGGGGGAGTTCAGTCAAAAGAGGAAGAATCTTCACATACCAAATTTGTCAAATTGAAAGCATAGGCAATAGCAGACAAATGTTCATCCCAATCATTTGGATAGTCAATGCAGTACTTGCTAAGAAAAGCTTTGATTGTCTTGGACATTCTTTCATTTACATCATCTGTCTGAGGATAAGACAATACAATTTGTTTCATTCCAAATAGTGCAAAGAGTTCTTCATTTATCTTCAAAAGAAAAAAGGACACAATCAGTGAACATTTCCCTTCTCCTTTATCCTATTTCAAGTAAACAAACTGTTTTCCACCCCTTTTGTTGATATGATGGTGACTGAGGAAGGTCTTACATACATAATACATATTGGCACCAAATACTCCAGGGTTGTGAGTGAGAGCTAAAGGAGTAAGTATGGCTTAGGAGCCAGTAATTCATAGTTTCTAACTACACTTCTGCCACTTAATCTGTCATTTCCTCTGTATCACAATCTGATGATCTTACCATCTCTAAGAGGATCAAAGCATGGTAAGTTCTTCATAATAACCACAGGCCAATGTCAAAAATAGCCTTAGCTATTGCTTACTGGACAATGTGGATGAATGAAATACAGCACACTGGAGTGTGAAAACCCATGCCAGTTCAAATGAGTGACAAAACCTTCACTATGACTGCCACGAAATAATTTTGCTTTATCCAAAAAATAAAGCCCTGGGAAATACTGCATAATGTTACAATTGCAAATAACTGGTTTGTCATGTGCTAACTTCTTTTCTACTTTTTAAATTGAAGACAAAACTACTTGAGCCTTTCTCAGGAATGGGCTAAAATTCAAATCCAATATAGGGGAAAATTTTTTTTTCTTGGGAAAAAAAAAGATTAATCAGCCACGTAAACATTTACCTGATAAACGAGCTCCTTCCCTTCATCAATAGGCATTTTTTGAGGTGGGCCATATAAGAAAAACACATTTATGAGTGCCTTAGCAATTTCAGCTGCTGAAGTGTCACGCAGTGGTAAGATAACAGTCCATCTTGTAAATAAATCTGTCATAATTATGATGTATTTGTGACTTCTGTTGGTAACATTAAAAGGTCCCATAAGCTCTATAGTAACTGCTGTCCATGGGTCTTCTGTTTTGAAAGGTTGTGTTTTGGGCCCAGTGATGGTTGTGTTCTTTGCCACTTGGCAATGCTGGCAAGCATACACCTAGAGAAAACATCAGGAAAGATGTTACCAATAAAAACCAAAGGTGAAGGTTTAAGACAATCATCAGAATCAGATCTCCACTATTCCTCTCTAAATTAGCTCAGACCAGGCAATGCAAAACAAATTCATTTATCACCTTTCTTACAATTTTTTACTCTCAGATTTTTCAGCCCCAGCATAAAACCAAAATAAAACCAAATAGCTAAGGCCAGGAGAAAGACGTGCAGGAATTCCCTCTGTCCTGAAAGCACTGTGCTCTTGCAAGTCCATCTGTAAATGCTAAAGGAAGCATGAAGCAGCTGGGACTAAAAGGAAGTCCCTTTTGGTTAACCTATGTATGCTATGGCTGAAAAACACTGGCAATACATAATCTTACCTCGTAACATGGATCAGCTTTATCTCCACGACAGAGGCCCTTTGTACAATCTGAGTTGAAGGCACAGACTCAACTTCAGTTCATGTTACAGTTGCATATGACCCCAAAGTATCCAGGTGATGTCACAAACCCATAGCAACAGTAATTTGGCCTTAAAGGACATTTACATACAGTTCCCTGAAGGACTGAACTCTACCAGGGACCATGTCCATGCATTTTTGGGTAGAGGAGAAGGAACTTTCCCTAGCAGTGATTTAACTATTTCGTGAACACAACTAATTGTAAGGCAGAGACACCATTTTCATGTTCTTATCTGCCAGTAGCTACTCTGGCCACATATCCTTGGGATGGTACATTGCATCCTAACAAAGATAAGTCAAGAGAAATCAATCTCCAAGGCTGGATCTGCCTTCAAAGGCATCATGGCTCCCCACCAGGTAGAGAAGTGTAAAAGCCATGTTGTCAGTAGTAATGGGGTAAAAAGGAAACACCAAGATGACCATTTGCAGTGTGATTGTGAGCTCATGTTTCCTCATCATGAAGCAGTCTGGGTACTTGCTGTACCAAAGCCATAGGACTGCAAAACATTTGTAACTAAAAGACTACATAAAAAATTATCCTGTAGCTATTATGCCATACCCACTGCTTGACATCATTTGTTACAGAGGTCCAGTAGTAATTAGACTCCACTAAAGTCAGTGTCCTTGATATCCCATGATGAGCGCCAGCAGCATTTTCATGGCATTTCCTGAGCACCTTTTTCTTCTCTTCATCAGAAACAATTACCAGGCGCATTTGTTTTCTATCTTTTCCAACATAGAACAATTTATTTTCTGTAAGAAAAAAAATACCAGCAAATTATGTGCAAGTGCTTTGTCCTTTTCTTTAGTTTAAAAAACTCCTGAGCATGATTCGGAACAGAACTGACTACAGTAACTTCAATTCACTTCAGTGTAAATGTAGTTTTTTGTTTACAAATATTTAAATTATTTCCTCCGAAGAGCCTTCAGTTCACCTATGTTTATTGATGCGGACTTGAGGAGTTACAAGGGCAGGTCAGAATGCAAACAGTGATCCCACAGAAAGTCTGACTGAAACACAAGGGTGGAAAGGGGAGGTAGGAGTGCTGAGTTTTTGCTGTTTGAGAAGTTGTTGTGTGCCTGCCAGCAACCTGACACTGTAAGTCACAGCTTTAACCCCTCCGTTCCCTCTACACAGAATTGGTAGGTTTGATGGGACTGAGAGAACACAGCACACTACAGAGGCTCACATATCTCCTCACAGGGCCTCAAAGCTGGGAAGGGCACAGAGGCTCTCAGGTGACTGATGGCAAAGTTGTCCTTGCACTTCTGCCCAGCCATACACAGCATTCTCCAGAAAGGATGGAACGTTCCTTGTCTACAGCTGCAGATCTGGATTTCCCTTTCTGCAATCCTGTGAATAATGGATTGCAATGGCTGTCTATTTCTGGAGTATGTAGAACAAGGTTTGGCTTTCAGATAGATACATAAATCCCTCTTGGAATGGAATGAAGGAGATCAAACTTCCATTTTTACAAACATCCTGTTATACACTAACCAGGGATATGCAGAGTGTTTGTTTTATGGAGAACATATTAAAAAAAAAATCACAGAACTCTGCAGAGCAAGATCCCACTTCTTTTGTTTTTTCCTAATATCAGCATATCTTCACCTAAATATCTATTTTCAGAGCAATCTGAGAGAATATTTTTACCTTCAAAAATGAATTTTTTGGCTGCCCTCCTGATTCCACTTCTTTCACTTGACAGTGTTGTGGGATGATACTCCCCTGTTCTCTTGTAGTATGCAATCTGCTTCAGGTGGAGCCCACCACTTTTTCCACTGCGAACCATTGTCAATCTGAACAAAATGCACAGGATTTATGAGACGGAGCTATTGTCAGAGGAGCACATCCTCAGTTTTCACTAATTTCTTTGTAGTTCAAAGGCATCCTGGGGCTGTAGCCTCTAAGAGGATGTTACACCATTCACTGCACTTCCCTTGATACCCCCATACTCTCAACTTAAGCAATAAGAAATACTGACCGAAACACTAATTTTGTTCTAAGCAGAGTTGTTTTCACCAAACTGTGTTTTAAAATTTCCACACAATGGGGACTTCTACTAGATTCATTGGACAGGGGAAGGAAATAGCACCAGAGAGAAGGAAACTGTTCTTCTCATTCTTCAATGTTTGGATAGCCCTCAAATGCAGGTGTGCTGGAGACTGGATGTGTCCAAAAATCCACCTTAGTTGAAAAAAAACCACATAGACAAATAGGAAAAAAACACCAACTTCCTAACTAGAAACTGACAGAAATGTATTTTGTTCATTAATTCATCTGACAATGAGATTCTGAAGTTCCAAATCAGGTTCTGCATGCAAGATAACAACTGACATGGGCTGACTTACCTGATCACATTCATAAGCTAAAATGTCACTAGTAAAATGGGTCACTGATACAGGGAATGTTTGGGTCTAGCAAGAATATCATCAAAATAATTAGCAAATAATGAAAATCAGAAATATTCACAGGCAGAATTATTCATGCAGGTTCTAAAAGATTTCAGTGATTTTTTTTTTTTATTTCTTTTTTCCAAATCTATTCCAGCAGCAATGAACATGTGAATGAGACAGCAGCTTGATCATACCCTCATCAATGTCTACAGGAGCAGGATAAGGCTTGGAGTCTGCCATGTCATAGTGAATGCTATTTATCCACAGCATTAAGCGAATGTGATAGTTTTCACCCTATGCCTTCCTGGAGACCAGCTTGTAATCAGGAAGGAACTAGGGAGGTGACCAAGGAAGTATTCCATGCTATTCCTTTACGTAACCTGAGGTATAAATAAAGCCGACCGGAGAGACCTCGCGCTCTTCTCTTCCGGCGAGGTTCAAGAACAGTAGATCCCTACGTGGTATTGCTTTTCTGAAGCTGAGGCCTGTATTGACTGCTGTTGTCTGCCACTGCAGGAGGGGAGGGTGCTGGGCCAGGTCTGACTGTCCTGCTTTCTCAAGGGAAGCGCTGAGATTTAGCCAGTTCTTCAGTCTGCTGGTTACCAGGTTTTTAGATTGTGCATACCTGTTTTGTTTCTGTCCCTTTGCGTCCTTTTTTTGTTCTTTTTTTTCCCTTCTCCCTTCCCCTCTTCCCTTTTAGGAAGCTATTTGGGGTTTCTGGGGTTATAGGTATATAGTATTCTCACTGTATATACCTGTTTTATATGTAAAATATATATATTTTGTTATAGCTTGGCTGTTTGATTTTTTCCCCCCTCTCTGGGAAGCAGGCTCTGTTGTCAAGTTTTGGAGACTTGGCAGCAAGCCAGCTTTAAACTTCCACAGCAAATTTCTTCCTTATCTTGCCAGCGTCCCAGGGCTGGACTGTGACAACATAACCTGCTAAGAAGAGTAGGTAGTTTGTCTGCCATACCTGCTAACTGGCATATAATTGTGGGGAAGTGACAGTATCCAGTCGCTCTGGAATGTACATGTAATGCTATTGGAAAGCAAAATGTGTAAGACAAGATGTCTGGTTTTTCAGTTTATAGATTCTCACCTACCTTCATTATGCAGGTGGTGGGAAGGGGGCAAAGAGCTATTAAGAGTGTTTATGCCTGCTTTACTTCATTCCTCTCAGAAAATAAAATGCTGTATGTTATTTACAGAATAACATAATCTACATGTATAACTGGGCCAAGCACTGCTGTGTTATTAATGGCAAATGCATGCCAGGAACTTCACGTTCCAAATGTGACAAGACCTTTGCCCCACTGAATAATTTTTGTACAACCCAGAGCTGGCTTTCAAAACCAGCCAAGTCTATTGACATACAACATCAGTGTCTTAAAGCGAAATTTTCATACCTGGGATAACTAGCACAGATCCACTTTTTGCCACCACAGTCCTGCCTGTGAGGAAAGAGGGTGTTTCAGAGCAGGGAAGGAGAGGAGCCAGAACACAGCAGCTTCCTGTAAATTTACATCTGATAGCACAAGCCAAACCAATGGACTGGGTTGGTAAATTGACTAACTAACAGCAGAAAGGAAGGTGAGGCTGCCATGAAATAAATTCATGTTTCTGATATTTAGAAGTCACTTAACTGGTATTTTTGACAGCAAAAGAGCACTGGTGAAGGGCAATTAAAATATCCCAGCTGCCAGGGGTAAGTATTTAAGTTTCATTCAGGATTTTCCTAATGGCCAGTCCTACACTTAAGTCACCTGTGCACAGCCTGAGGTCAAAACTAGCCAGGTATGACCTATGACTTAACCAGAGATGATAGGCTGGTTTGGCTTGACACAGACTTTCACATGTGGCAGGAAAAGATGTTACCACAACAATCTTTATTCTTCCAGTGCTTCAGAAAGTCATACCTGAAACAGTGAATATTCTCCATGTAGTACAAAATGAATGATCTTAACAAAATTAAGTTGCACAGCAACACGATGCATTTAAGCTGATACTTCAGCTAAACAGAAGACCCATTCTCACTCCTGCAGCAGCAGTTTCTGCTATAAGGGTTTGGAACAGCTTAGGGAAGATGAGGAAGAAAGAATATACTATGTAGCATCCACACACTTTAATTTAGTAGGATCCTGATCCAGCAAACTCTTAAGTGCTTCAACAGTCTGCTGGATTGCTGCCTAAGAGGACAATATTATATGAGCTTCCTTCCTGGATATTTATTTTCTTGTGTCCCTACTAATCTTTTCCCACAATACCTAATTTACTTGGTTTAAACCACTCTTAAAAACAAACAAATAAACAAACCAGCCCTGACAATAACAAGTTATAAAACCTCCTAGTTTTGTTGTTTATTCAGATAATTCATATGGTATGGCTATCAAAACTCATATTGTATCTGGTAGTCTAAAAATCAAAGACATAAGAAGAGCAATCAATTTTTAGTACCTTTGAAGCTGGAAAAGAATTCACTGCCTTTCAGTCAAGGGAAGCATTTTGGCAAGAGAATGAAACTTCCATATAATCAGAGCTCTTTTTGCTCTAGTGTCGTGGCTAAAACAATCGTACCTGCTAACACTTGGCTATTTTACCCTTTAATGCCCATTTTCTCCTACGCACAATCACAATCCTGCAAAATAGTTTGTCCCTGCAAAACTATTGTTTTAGACCAGCTTCCAACTAATTCCCCTACCTCTGTCTGCAATTCCTATCAGAAATGGGAATTCCCCAGTGAACCCTGAATCATAGAATGGTTTGGGTTGGAAGGGACCTCAAAGATCATCAGTTCCAACCCTCTCACATGGGCAGGGACATTTTTCACTAGACGAGGTTGCTAAAAGTCCCATCCAACTTGGCATTAAAACACTTTCAGGGATGGGGCATCCACAGTTTCTTCAGGGAACCTGTTCTAGTGCCTCATCACCCTCGCAGTCAGGAATATCTCCATATATCCGATCTAAACTTTCTCTCTTCCAGGTTGAAGCCGTTCCCCCTTGTCCTGTCACTACACGCCCTTGTAAAAAGTCCCTCTCCAGCTCTCTTGCGGGCTCCCTTTAGCACAGAGCTTCAGGAACACAGCCTTCCAAAAACCTGTAAATCAGACAGGCACATTCCCCTACATCCCTCCCTGGCCTGCGGGAGCTCAACAGAGAGCTGGGGCCGTCTTCTGAGAGACCCAGCGGGTAGGAACTCGAAACCAGCGCTTCGCCGCCCGCGGTGGCGGCAGGCGTCGTGCGGAA